ACGTCAAAGTGGGCCTCTCCGTGGGCGTCCGTTCAGTGAAACAAAACACGGCCACATGCCTTCAGCACCAGCGCCCTCTTTTTTAGACAAACCTTCAGACAAGAAAAAAACAAAAAGAAAGAAGCATATAACAGTAAAATAGCACCAGCCCTCGACCAAGCCCAACACAATCACCATCACCCCCTCGCACCACAGCAGCCAAACAATGGCCTGCCGAGTCCGTGCCCGCCCGCACAGCTCAAGAAAGATCGCTGCTTGCTGTTGCTCTCCCACACCACGGCAGCGCCTGCGCACGGTTAGAAATGAGTGGGTGGGGAACCGACGTAAACAAAAGTTATATGGTGCTTCCCTACATGTGCAACGCGGAGTCGACACAGCAGCGGTCAACCGCCACATATAATGGGCACCAGCGTGGAACCCAGGTATATATCCCACAAGAAGGTCCCATAATGGGAGATCGCAACTTTAGTTCCGCATATGCGGCACACACACACACACAGTCACACTCACCATAATATTATCCCACAGTCATGACACACACACAAATACCCAAATAAGTGCATGAAGTACAGGCGATGATAACTGGGCTCCCGCTGTGAACCGACGAAGTGGCGGTCTTTAGGGCCCTGCAGCCACCAGGCTCCTCCGCGCGGAGGATCATGGCAGGTATTAGTTTGGGGAAGAAACAAAAAACAACAACAACACCGCACACACCACCGTACAACGCACTCTCGTAGGAACCAAATCAAGTCAACAACAAAAAAACGGGGGGAGCACAAAATAAATCGATATCAGTTGCTCAGCGGCACCTGGTCGCTTTTCCCTTAAAATTACTTTCCTCCTTTTCAGAAGCGTCGGAGCCAAATAAAAATAAAAACGATGGGGAGGGGGCGTCGAGCACTGTTTCTAACCAAAACAAACAAGAGCCCAGTCGGTATGGTGGGAATCTTCAGCTTTCAGCTCAGCCCGTACAAAACAACCGCAATCACTTTTCTTTTTAAAAGACACATCAACACATCGATGCCGCTCGTCGATATAATTGAGCCCATTCACAAAATGACCCACGCAAATTTCCCACATTTACTGCAGTCCTTTCTCCCTTTCCCGCTCTCTTACTGCCGCCGTCTGCACGCGCAGGAAAATAATAGTTACCACCAGATGGATGCGACACGTTGCATCGGATTTCGCGTCCACGTCCCCAATGAAAGATACAACTTTCGCTCCTTTACCAGTGAACTCTGACTGATGCAGAGCAGGCGTCCATATGGAGCAGACGCTGATTCACACTGGAATCCTCTTCCGATCGTCACTTGTAGCAGCAATCGCTTGACTCCCTGAACAACTTTTTCCAATCCGCCTTTGTGAGGTACCAAAGCATTGCTGGCCCCCCTAACATCAATCCAATAGGCAGGCCTCCAACTATTCCAGCCAGACCCCAGGCATAACAAACAGGTAAACACAAGCTCCGACGGCAATCCAACAAACCACAAATAAGTGAACAAAATTTGTACCGCCTGTTTGCTATGCCCCATTCCACTGAACACGCCCTGAAAACCGTACTGGACGCTCTCAGCGCTGCGTGTAAATGGTGCTATCCAACGCACAGTATGCGCCACTTGCAACGATGCTTCGTTCACTCCAGATACACCAATAATCCTGAAATAATAAAAAAACAACGAATGTAATAATTCAACCCACAAAGGACATAGATGGGGCCAAAGCGGCAGCGACGAAGAGAGAGCTGGGAATCGTCAAGCAAAAATATTCGTTCAAGCCACCCCACTGCAATGTCTTTCTGATATGGAATTTACCCGGCGTCTGTTGGGTCGATTCCCAAAGCGTCGTCAGAGCAATCGGTACTGCACGCTGTACCCCAGCCACTACAACCATTCCCCAGCACGGCACCACGAACAGCTCGCTGGGCCAAAAGGCACTGAGCCAAAGGTGCCACAACAAACCCGACCACAACAGCAGTCATGGGCAATTGAGGTTTGGGATGATTCAAAGCAAATTTAAAACATGCCGTGAAAGTCACCGATGGAATGATAAACAGGGGTCCAAGCTTCATAAAATTACAGGCAATTTCCGCTGTCTTCTCCCCGTACATTTTTGGCAACGCACCTTGTATCAAGCAAAGAAAAAACAACGATACGCCGACAGGCACCATCAATAGAATACCACAACCACAACGCCTCGTTGAAGAGTACTGCCTTGCTCATCACTCCCTACACCCCCACCCCGTCAGCCCGTAAACATGGCGCGTCCACCGCAAACCACAATCCACGAAGTTAATATTGGGCAAAAATTGAAATAATAAGGCACCCCACGAACGCACCAGAGAGAAAGAATCATTGCCCAGACAAGCGCTGACAAAAGCCAACGGTGCAACCGCCAGCCAAACCGAAGGTTAGCGCAATACCCATAGCGGACGGCAAGGCCAGACAAACCAAACCAAGCACAATTTGACCCCATCTCAAGAAATAGTCATCAGTTTAAGGCTCTGAGACACATACCTCCTCACCAACCGACATGTGTGTGTCGACCGGCAAGGGCAGCACTGAGGTACTTGCAGCACGGCGTTGCGATCTCTTCCCTCTGCCACGTGCGTTGCTTCCAACGTCATGTGCAACCCAGTCCCGGCGCTCGGTCCTCGGCTCTCGTCATTTCCAATTTATTCTAGCTTCCCTCACAAACGGCCCAAGAAGACTCTTTTGTTTGCATCCTCCCGTTAAGACAGCAAAAACAAAACAAATTCTTGTGATGGCAGCAAAACAAAACAAAAAAAAATGAGTGGTCAACCACAGCGGCAGAATAACAAAATGTTATTATGCAAATCCACTGAAAAGTTTTTCTGTTGCTGCTGTCACCGTTTTGCGTTTGCGCGGGAGGCTCCACCACCTTCCAGAGGGGATTGCATCGGCGCCATTTACGGCTTTGTGCGATAATTTAGACGTTGAATCCGAGTATCCTGCCGGAGTAGCCTCCCCTTAGAAAAGTGGGGAAGGCGGAGAAAGTGCGGTTTGGTATTTTTGAGGCACGCTGTGCCAGAAATGATGGCGCGGAAGAAGCCGAAACAAAACAAGACAAACTATCAAAACAACAAACTAAAGGCGCTCCACCTTCAGCAGGCCAGCCCCACCATCTTCTATGTCGCCGCCGGCCGTGGGCAAATCAGTGGGCGCGGAGACCGAACGGATTGCAAAACAACCGAGCCAGTGGCTGACCAAAGTGAAGCTCGGGCACCTCCAATCCCCCCAAAGCCAAATTTCGCTCGCCGGGCCGCAAGGGGCCCACAGCAGAATAAAATGTGCCCCGGCGCCGCCTCACCCACGCCGCTTCCAAACCACGGCGCCTCTCCCCACCTTGAAACCCTCCTTGTAAAATCCGCCGGCATCGTTGTCTGGTGTTCGCTCCACGGCAAGGATGGAGAAACAGTGCAGACGTCGCGCCTCTTGCTGAGAAAACCTCGACGCGAGTTCCCCACCCTCCTCTTCCTGATCGACGCGAACCAGTTCGATAGGGCGCTGGCCCCGGGGGCGGCCGAACTGGCCCGGGCGGGACTTCCACCGTGCGCCACGCCCATGCACCCCCGCAGTGCGTCGCGTGAGGCACCGGTCCTCCCGCGGAGGGCTCGAGG